TCGCTCGAGCACGTGAAAAACAAAGAGCCGCTATAAATATTCAAACAAATCCCCGTTCGCGCGCAACGTTTTTCAAACAAAGCCATACCGAATGCGATTTTTTGGGAATTCCCCAGAAAATGCAGGCAACGATCGTTATTGTACAAAAATCTGCGTTCACGCGAGGCGAAAGTGGCCGATCCCCCCAAAATCCACATACATATCTCACGTGCGCTTCCATGGGTGGTAGAGCAGGTAGCCACAAGCGAGCAAAAATCCCCACCAGCTCGGCATCCCAAGAACGCAACCATCGAGATGAGACACACCAAAAACGCGAGAAAAAAAAAAAATAATAAAAAGACCCACAACCGCACCACCGACGGCGACGACGACTCGACCTAGTTCTTGCACACACATGTACGGCCAGTGGGCTAAAGCGCCGACCTTGTCTCTCTTTTTCCCTCGCGTCTCTCGAAATTCAGAGGAGCTGCTACACGGTGTAGTATATAACCGCGAACCAACTATAGCAGTACAGAAACGAGGGAAAGAAGAAAAGGAATGGTCGTATCTACACTCGCGGGTACGTGTGTACCTACTCGCCGCATGCGCAGCTGACCCGCGTACAAGCGTTGGCGTGAGAATTACCGAGGGGAAGTGGCGAGAGGGAGAGCGTGATTTCCGACGTGATGGTGTGGTACATGCATCGCGATGCCTTTGATGTAAATTTGGCGGAGGGGGGGGAGACAGCTGCGAGGTGGGCAAGGCTTACCTGCCACGGCGGGCTAACTTTCCGCGAGAATGTACCTAATGGGCTGTGGAGGGTGGGGGAGCTTTAGTTGCGTGTTACACGAATTTTGCGAGCCACGTTTCGTTTAGCTGACGCGAGGAGGGAAAGGAATAAATAGCCGCGCATCACATGCAGCAATGGCCCGTCGAGGATTGAATGTGACGCGGGGATTATTAAATTATCCAACGAAATACATATATGTGCATTTCGGTTGTGTACACCTTTAATCGACTCTTGATTGTTTGTGTGCGGCCAGAGTGATATAACTACTCTCAGTTGGTTTTTTACAACGAAATGTTTCGTATCTCCCTCTCTCTAAGACAAGCTTATGGAGATGGCTTTAACTAAACGTGATACATTTACTACAAAAGCTCAAAATTTCTTAAATCATGTAAAGACTCACTGTTTTGTGGATGGGAACAAAAAAATCTTCCAACATCCACGTGACATGTACGCACACAACGATGCGTCAAAGCGAAAATTTAAACTGCGGCCCTATTTATAGAGCAACAACAGAAACAGCGCATCGAGCAAATACGACTATAACAGAACAAATAATTTGTTGTTTGGACAAGTACACGGAGGGAGCGAGCGAGCGTGTAGCCTCGCGTCTAGAGGGAGACTCAATTAACCTATATACCCTCGTCGCCAACCAGCGGGCCAACCAGAGTCGTATTGTGTCGTACGTATGTGAATGTAATAAAACTCACGAATCTCTGGCACACCTAAGATTGGCCATCCTCGTCTTCTTCGGGATGGCTAAAAATCTCTAATAATCCGTGTTGTCGTTGGGGCTGACCAACACGGCAAAGCGTGATTCTTTTAATAAACGCGTGGCAGCTCATATTAATCGTCTCCAACACCTCGAGGTACAATAATGGCCAGTGTCTTTTTGGCAGATGAGCGCTCTCTCGTTCTTATTATTTACATACTCTTCATGTTTTTCACATACTCGTATACCGTGCACTGCGTGGGTGTCTTTAACTCTAACCGTAACTATAACCGTGTAACATAAATTATATACGAGATTGTGTACCAATATTTTTTCTTCAATCGGGGCCTGTTAAACTGACCAAAACTGTAATTTTATGTAACTAGACATTAATAGACACTCTGTGCCGCAAACTGCTCAAACTACTCGTACTTCCCAAGTTACTAACAATTTGTATGAACCTTCGAACTATACTTGAGTCTACAACCCACTCAGATCTTTAAACTCGTAAGGTTAAATGGTACGACAGCTCCACCACATTAAGTATAGTTTAAATGTTTCAATATTTGAAAACTCTAGTTGTCTTTAGAGTCAAATAGTTTTCGGAAAATATTGAAGTATTGTTAGTTTACGGATTCTAGTTGGATGGAATTTGCAATTACGTAGAAATTTTCCATCGTTTAAAATTTTTAAGCAATTTTTAGGGTGACGTAACTCAAAATCTGGAGTACCTACTGTTAGGATTTAGGTAGTTGGAAAGCTTGTAGAGATTCGAGGATCGAGTGGATGAAACAATCAGTTAATTTAAAATTCAGAGTAGTGTGATAAGTCCAGTGTTATAAAGTTGTTCTTGTTACTTAAAGTCTCAAGCTTAAGTCTGAAGACTTGAGTATTAATTGAAAGGATCGAGTAGTTTTGGATTTTTTTAGTTTAAACTGTCAAGTAGTATGAAATTTAAACAGACAGAGGAATTAAATTGATGTTTGAGTTTAGTGAATTCAAGGTTTGAATGAGGGTTGTGTAGTTTTAAAAACTGAACGACTTCAAAACTTGCGGGGTACCATACTATAGTAGAATGGAGTAGTTTTAAAGCTTAAAAAATCGAGTAACTTGATATTTTTCGAGTGTTTGAAATATTTTTGAACCCAAATTAAAATTGATACAAAATCTTGACAACCTTTCAAAATTGACTTTTCAAATACCTTGCACAGCCTAGAAGAAGATATCTTTTACGTGTAAGTTGTGCTTCTTTTATCACGACATATATTCATAACGTTTTCAAAAATAGTCTGTTTGACGAAAATCGCTTGATGATCTGCCAGCTATTAAAGATGAATATTTGAGCTCCTGGCTCAATTAAAAAGGTTTAACCTGTAGCTTTACCAGTATCCTAAGAGCAACGACCTGTGTATGACTGGATAAATGGACCTTCTCTCCTGCTAGACTCGTAGTTTCTAACTTTTAAATTCCTTTCGAGAAAAGCTATACTCGTACGTATGTGAACATCGGGTAAAATATAAAAAAAATTTTGACCGAATTTCCATTGAGAGTTTTTAAACAGATTGCGTAAAATAACCGTTGGAGGAAAATAAAAACTCTTTAGTTTTCAAAAATAGTACTCAACCACCCTTACATCCTGAAAAATTCTAAATTTCATACTGCCCACGTACATACATTTGCTATTTTCACGTACAACAGAAACTTTTTTTTTAGAGTAAACTATCTCTCCCGCAGAATTCAAAAGTAACAAAACAAGACAGCCCGACATTCCCGTATACCTTCTAGACCACCCGGCAACATCATTACGGTTCAAATAGCAGTGTACGCGTGTTTTCTCTTACTTCTTTTTTATCGCTTCGAGCAAATGCAAGCCGACGACCTTGCAAGCTCAACTTTTTTCGTCACAACTGAAGAGCGTGCATTCGCGTTCAACGACCCAATTAATATGCCTCAGGCGCTTGCCGGCTACATTATGCCCCTCTCGTAGGCGTATTATTAATAAAGCAGAAAGTACATGTCTTGTCTCTTTAGCTCCATTTTTTTCCGCTCGCTTTTCAACACTTTCAACACTGATGCATACGAAAACGAGCACGTGTAACTACATGATAACAAATAATAGTTCACCCTACACTGGTTGCCCGCTCGCGTGAGATGTATTTTTTTTTTTTTTTTTTTTGAATGCACATACGGTTCAATAGGGGCGAGCTACCAAAATGTGGAAGTAGCTCACTCAGCTAGCTGCTCGTTGGGAAACAGGTTTTTTTTACCACTTGTCCATCGCGTGGAGAAAAAAAGAGACACACACTCCTTCACGAGATTCATGAAAAAAAAAAGAAACATTCGCTCAAAATCTTGTTCGCCCACTTTCGTGAATATTTTTGATTTCAGACTTCACTTGGTAAACTTATTTTTCTCTATTCACGCGTATCCCAAATCTTAAAGACACGTAACATAACGTACAAGCTCCCAGTAGCGCCGTTCCCCTTTCTTTCGCTCTCCTCCGCAAATAAACGCCGCAAGCTCGCACAAAAGCTCTCCCTCTCTTGCCAAACACGTGTACACGCCACGACAGTTAGTCCATCCATACACCTTCTCGGCAGTTCGACGTGCCTCCACCTCTTTTCGCGAGTCATCATACTTTTCTGCGCATTCAATTGCAGTTTCGCGGGTTACGCAGCTGTAGCTGTGCGTGCATGTGTACTTTGGACTCGGTATGGCTGATCCGAAGAGGTACACGCACGAGTACTACAAGCTCAGGAGGCTCACCAATGAAATCGACTGTCAGATTCGTCGACTCTCCGTGAGTGCTTTCATGTTGAGCTTTCGTGGTATATATGGGAAGCTTTTGATGGATACATTGGAAAGGACTTGAGGAAGAGAGAGAAGGAAAGGTGTCAGTTACACAGAGTGTTTAGGCAACAATGTCGTGATTTTCCTGCTAGAAGAGATTATTTGGTGCTTCGTGAAAATACATTCATCTCATTCATGTGATGTGTATGAAGAATAATTTTTTAAAGGCAGAAAAAAAAAATAATAACAATAATAAACAATAAAAGTACAATGTTTTAAATAATAAACAATAAAAAAATACATTGTTTTAAATAGGAAGGCTATCACCGAACGCAAGCTCCGTGTTTCGCGTTAATTTTAACCAAAGTTTAGGAGCTACAATCTATTTCTTTCTATTCTATTTCGGTATTACAATCTTCGTCGCGGTCCCCGTTGTCTCTTTGTTGAAGTTTCTCGGATAGGCCCGTTCGCACGTTTTCTGGTCGAATCTCATGCTTGACTTGCTTCAATTAGAAAAGCTAATTTTATCCGTCCATTATGTCATTTGTTCATTTCACCACTTACACATTTATATTCATATCACAATTATATGTATTACCCAGCACGATTGAGACAATTGAAATCGATATACTTGACAAAATTATGTGATAAAACGCATGAAATTGTGTTTCAAAAAATAAATGAGTTATCTTGATTGAGCCCTCAGTAATCACAATTATTTTTACTTTGCAGTCGGAGTACGGACTTACGGAGGACCAAGTGGCGGGTAAGTTTTTTTTTGCTTCGAAAATATCTCACGCTCATAGCCGTACGTCAACAAAGAGAAAGAGAGAGAGAAAAAGCGGAAGAGAGCAATATAGCACCTCTAAATAAGACCTTGAGATCTTGATTAACAGAGTATCTACACAGTGATAAAAAAAGATTGCGAGACAGAAGGGAAAAAAAAACATGTTATTTTTTGTTGCTTGACACGCACGTGTACAGTTGTACAGTCGCGTATATATGCATTGGCGCAAGGAGTAAGCTACAAGAGTACCGTTTTCCTGTCATTATAATAATTATTAAAAATTAATTAAATAGACTTGGCTGGAAATTAAAAAGAAAATTTAATTTTTTTTGTAGCCTCTCATTTTATCGAAGCATAGAAAAAAGGACACGACATTCTTCCTTGCAGGTGCATTCCAAGGGAAATAAATATACTACCCTAAAAAGAGCTCTCGCTGGTCTCTGTTTTTTTTTTCTCTTTTTCATTTTTAGCTGGCAGCCACTAGTGTGAGGCGCTCAAACTACAGATTAATTGATTGGCGATTGCTTTTTTATTGAATTGTACGTAGTTCAGCTCTGTTTTCGTGAGCGGGTGATAATTGCTGGTCGTAAAATGGGTGTTTGATTGGCGGGGAGTCTCGTTAAAAGTTTGAAGTGTGTTGATTTTGTACACATTACAACAAACCAACTCCTGTTTCTCAATTAATACAACGATGGAGGAAGGGAGTCACTTTCAGTTACGTCTCGAGAAAAGTTACGCTTTCCAACGACGTTTACAGTTTTTTTGTCAACATTACAAGTTAAACACTTTTATTCATAGTAAAAGTAGTGCACTGTAGTCCACGAAGAATATTTGCACTCTTATCCAGGTTAAAACTCGTAGACTTCTTTTTGGAGTACAATTTACTGTAGTTCATGAAAATTCTATGCACATCTAGTTATAGAATCCTTATCAACATGGATTTCAGTTATGGATCTAAGTTGCTTGTCAATCAACTAAATAATTGGATCAATTCCATCATGAAATAAATCAATGATCAGACGTTGCTGTAATTTTTTAGTGTTCAAGTGATGAAATAACTAAAAACATGTTCAGAGCCAAATCAAAAATTGTAAGTGAGTAAGTATTTAGTTTAAGAAAAAAAACATTATACTTGAGCCCTTGGTGCTGTGGCTAATAATACTTTACTTTAAATGTCTCAAAGATCCTTTACTTAAATTAATATCATGACGAAATATTCTACACGATGGAACCTTGATATTTTACAGTGCTATGGCACAATACTTTTTATTATTGTTTTCTCCAAGGAGCCAAACAGAAACGATTGCAGCCACTTTTTATAAATCCTTAAAAAAAACTGTTTCGTCTCATTTTATCTTGGGCAAATAAGCCATTAGACCACAGTTTATTGTATAAAAGGTAACAGGTGCTCGAGTGCAGCATATTTTGGGGAGTTCCGACGCATCTCTCTTTCTCCAGCAACGAGGTGCAGCTGAGACGCCACCATTCACACATAAATCGCCTTGGCACCACATTTTATCCTCCACTGCCAACTGGTTGTTGAAACATCGCTTCTGCATCATTTCCATAATGCGAAAAGTTGGGATGCGCACAAGAGAGATTCGAGATTTTGGAATTTTGCTCGCACCACTGCTTCCGCAAGATTTTCTCCTGTAGACCCGTATGCTTTGAGTGCAGACCTACTACAGCTGAATCGCTCGGATTTTTATAGTTTGCAAGTGCCTCGAGGCTCCATGTCAGTATCTGTATCGTATTAATGACTGAAGTATTAATTCGCTACCCGTACAGGGACGGCTTTTATGTCGATTGCCAGTAATCTACTATGTCTCAAAAAAATTATAATCTCGACATTATGTATTTTTGAGATCAAAAAATCAATTAAAGTAAATTTGAAGGATTAAGTATTATTGAAATGTGTAGTACAAGAGTGTGAATTACGAGCACGAAGTGAAGTTGTCTTGTTATCATGCGAATAGCGATGTTAAAAAATGTGGGTCGAACGTAGATGGGTAGTTGAATCGCTCACGTCTGCCATTGAATAAATTGGAATACCTTTGCGTCCCTCTTGTGTATATATTTGTAGTTACGTGTATTTCAAGTTCTAATTCTAAAGGATTCGCTTTTCTGAAGAGGCGAAAAAAAAGTATTTCGACGGCACGTTTGCCGGAACAACCTTTACGATTTAACCCACATCCTGAAGTAATTTCAGATGCTTTTTAAAATTCAAATCTGACCTACTTTCTCACGCATTTCTTTTTTGTGCTTCCAATTAAACTTCCTCAAGCCCAAAAGGCTGAAAGTGCGATACTCGTAATGAGCTACATTTTTCAATGATAATTGAGTAATGTGGCATGGTACAACAGACAAAAGGTATACCTCTTTATTTTTCTCAATGGCTTTCCAAGTTGAAAATCCAAACATTTTTCTCGTGATATAATAAGGATACAACTCGAGAACACCGTACTCGTCTGGAGAGAAAAACAGCCATCGCTCACATGCATAAAACTTTTTATCACAGCAGCTCGATGGCTCGACGGTAACTCTTTCTTTTCGTAAGACGGGGTGCAATAAAAACCGCATCGTGCGGACGAATGGAAAAAAAAAGTCGCGAGAACTTTTACTGCTGTATGTATATAATATATACAAGCAGCAAGAAAGGACGTAGATTCGCGACGAGATTTCCTGGGTAAACATTCGTGCATGCGCTCGAATGAAAAAGAAGGTGACAAAAAGAGGAGGGAGAGCGATGGGTTGGGAGCTTTAGCGTCGAATCGGCGATTTATAAGAGCAGCGCTATTACAATGGGTGACGGGGGACTCGTGGCTGGCAAATTGCCCGATCTTTCTTATTCCACGAGCCGATATTTTTCAAATGTTGCGCAGGGAACGAGTGCGTTTGTGTATACCTATTAGAGGATAGGGCGATATCACTGTGCGTAGATATGCGATTCGTGTCAAGGTCTTCATGATGTATGATTTTCTCTCTCTCTTCACGTTAGTGCAGATTTTTTTGGTAATTTTTTTTTTTTTGTAGTTGACAGGGTACAGTAAGTTCGAGCTGTAGTACGAATGTCTTGGAAATCAAAAACATTTTTTTTAGTAGCATTTTATTGCAAAATCAGTCATAGCTTGTTTTCTTTTTTAGGTAATTTTTAGGTTGAGCACTACTGAAATTTGTCAACTACCTGGATGAAAAAAAAATTTTAAGTTTTGTGTAATGGGAATGATCAAGCAGTCATTTTTAGTCATTGATAACAATTTTTATAAATAATGATAAACCTATGAATAAAAAATCATGAGCCGTTTTTTTTTAATTCGGTGCTTATTGGAGATTTATTTTATAAATATGATTCCTGAACCAAAAAAAAAGTAAAAAGAATATTATAAGGTGATTCAGCAACAAACGTACCAATTATGCTAACCAAATATCTAGTATTTTTGAATAAGTGATCTGTATTTAAAAAGTTAATTAATCAAAGAATCATTTAACCTTTTCTCCAAACTGTAAGAATTCATGGACGTTTAATTGAATCGAAAAAAAATTCCACTTTTTACAGAGTTCAAAGAAGCATTCATGCTATTCGACAAGGACGAAGATGGCACTATCACAATGGCCGAACTGGGAGTTGTGATGCGTTCGTTGGGACAGCGACCGTCTGGTAAGTGAAAATTTTATTTGCCAAAAAATGTTCCACATTGATTGAATGATTAATTTCCCTGTCTTTCGAAGAAAAAGAAAATTTGTACCTATAATATATATTTTCATATACTCCAAGTCTTATCCATACATTGCTCTTTTTCTTTTTTTCATCATAAATCCATTATGTGCTACTCTTTCATTGCAACATAATAAAACTCATGTTTTATCTCAAACTGAATTAACTTTCAACCAAGTGAGATATAAAAGATTATTCAAGCGATTTTCATAATTTCATTAGGTACATGTACAGGAAACATGAAGTACCGTAGGAAAAAAAAAAAATTACTTCACCACAGATTGTGCAGAGTTTATCAAAAACCGCGGTTCTTCTTACTTTCCAACTGAATTATTAATCTTTCAAATGTTATATAATATATATTATTTGTTATTCAAAGTTTAACAGGGAAGTAAAGTAAGACGAGAAAAAAAATTATTAAGCTTTCCACCGCTTCTCGTTTCGATTTAT